AAATCCGCATTTTTCTACAAAATTTTACTCCTTTAAGAACATATCTCGCATGGTAATTTCTTGTAGAGAAATGAGGATTTTGCAACTAAGCTTCGCAGTCGACTCACGATGAATAAAAAAATCGTCACAATTGAGAGGGGGTGGGTGGGCGGGGCTTATATTTTGTACCGTTTTGATTAATATACGAAGTCTTATTTTCCGAACAAAAAACTAAAAACATATTTAACTTCGTGTTGTTAAAAAAAATATATGTAATAAAAAAAGTCCCGATCTCAATTGTGATGAATTTTTTATCGTTGTCAGATCGAGGGGCGGAGCATAATTGCAAAATACATACTTCCCTACAAAAATTGTGAACACGTTTTGTTTCTTGTCAAAAGAAAACTACGTTTATTAAGAAGAAAGGGCAAAATATAAGCCCCACCCACCCACCCTGTCTCATTTGTAACGATTTTTTTTGTTCGTTGTCAGACTGAGTGGCGGAGTTTAATTGCAAACTCTGCATATTTCACATGGTAATTTCTTGTAGAAAAATGAGGATTTTGCAACTAAGCTTCGCCGTCAGCTCACGATGGATAGAAAAATTATCACAATTAAGAGGGGGTGGGTGGGCGGGGTTTATATTTTGTGCCTTTTTTCTTAATAAACGAAGCTTTCTTTTCGCAACAAGAAACTAAAAACATATTTAATTATCGTGTTGTTCAAAGAAAACTACGAGTACCTATATGTAATTAAAAACAAGTCCCGATCTCAATTGTGATGAATTTTTTATTCGTTTTCAGACCGAGCGTAATGGCAAAATGTGTATTTCCCTAAAAAAATTTTGAATACTTTTTAAGTTTCTTGTTGTGAAAATGAGACTATGTATATCAAGAAAAAAGGGCAAAACATAAGCCCCACCCACCCACCCGCTCTCAATTGTAATGATCTTTTTTATTCGTTTTCAGACCGAGAGGCGGAGTTTAATTGCAAAATCCGCATTTTTCTACAAAATTTTACTCCTTTAAGAACATATCTCACATGGTACTTTCTTGTAGAGAAATGAGGATTTTGCAACTAAGCTTCGCAGTCGACTCACGATGAATAAAAAAATCGTCACAATTAAGAGGGGATGGGTGGGCGGGGCTAATATTTTGTACCTTTTTTATTAATATATGAAGTCTTATTTTCCGAACAAAAAACTAAAAACATATTTAACTTCGTGTTTTAAAAAAAATATATGTAATAAAAAAAAGTCCCGATCTCTATTGTGATGAATTTTTTATCGTTGTCCATTCGAGGGGCGGAGCATAATTGCAAAATACATATTTCCCTACAAAAATTTTGAACACGTTTTAAGTTTCTTATCAAAAGAAAACTACGTTTATTAAGAAGAAAGAGCAAAATATAAGCTTATTTATAACTTGATAAACAAAGGATGAGTTCTGACTAAGTGAATATCATAAAATCTCCTAGCAAATACTTTTATCTGAACAACTTCATGACTGTTAAATTGTGTCAGAACCAGTAACGCTTAAAATATTAACATGAACTGTGAATTTATGAACAATAAATCAAATTTATATCACGTGTTGATGTCGGTCGAAAATTCGCCTACTTCCGGTCTTCCTTTTTTTTAACTGCCAAACCAATTAAACTTAATCTAGCTACCTTACCGCGTGTTTTTGCTCACACCAAACAAACAACAGTGACGCATCTCACCCCTTAGCAAACAGGTGAACTTCACTACCAACCCTCTCACTACATACTATCCACAAATTCCCCTAGGAGAGCTACCAAACATCAAAAAAAGAATTTAACGTGCACATGGTTGCCTATGTTTAACTTTTCAATTTTTTCATATTGTAATTTTCCGGTTTTTTAAATTTTCCATTTTTCGAATTTTTTTTGACGTTTCGATTGCTGGAACTTCAGATTTTTCGATTTAATGCTATTTCGATTTATCGATTTTTTCGTTTTTGGACTTCTCGACTATTCGATTTTTCGATCTTTTGATGTTTCGATTTCTCGATTTTTAAGTTTTTCAATTTTTAAATTTTTTTATTTTTCGATTTTTAAAATTTTCGATTTCTCGATCTTTTAATGTTGATTCTTAAACTTTTCTTCTATTTTTCAGTTTTTCGATTTTTCGATTAATTGGGTTATCAATTTTTCGATTTTTTTATCGTTTCCATTTTTCAATTTTTCGATTTTTTGTCGTTTTCATTTTTCAATTTTTCGATTTTTTGACATCTCGATTATAGATATTTCGGTTTTTCAATTTTTCGATTTTTAAAATGTTTAATTTTTCCATGTTTTGGCTTTTAAAGTTTTTGATTTTTCGATTTCCCGATTTCTCAAGTTCTTAATTTTTCAACATTCGAATTTTGGGAACTTTTCAATTCGCGAATATTTTAATTTTCCTGTATTTTAAATTTTACATTTTTTGACATTTTTGATGGTTTGATTGCTTCAATTATTCGATTTTTCAATTTTTCTATTTTTAAAGTTTTCGATTTCTCGATCTTTTAATATGTCGATTCTTCAGTTTTTCTTCGATTTTTCAGTTTTTCAATTTTTCGACTTCTCGGTTTTAGATTTTTCAATTTTTCTATTTTTAGATTTTTGATTTTTCAATTTTTCGAGATTTCAATGATTCTATTTTTCGATTGTTCGATTTTCAAGTCTTTTAATTTAAAATTTTCCGATTTAAGTTTTCGATTTTCATGATATTTCCATTTTCCGATTTTTGATTTTTCGATTGCTCGATTTCTCAACTTTTCAATTTCTGGATTTGTCGTTTTTTTATTTTTTTTAATCTTCCTATTTTTCGGTTTTTGATTTTTAAAATCTTTGAATTTGCGTTTTTTTGAATTTTTCGATTTTTAAAATTTTTGATTTTTCGGTTTATCAGTGTTTCGAATCTTAAATTTTTCGATTTTTAAAATTTTTCAATTGTTTGATTTTTCGATTAAACGATTTTTTAATTTTTAATACTTCATTTTTTCGAATTCTTGACATTTCGGTTTTTATATTTTTAAAATTTTTCAACTTTGCGATTGTTCGATTTTTCAAGTTTTCGAATTCTCAATTTTAGGAACTTTTCTGAATCTGGTTTGTTCAATTTTTCAAGATTTTAATTTTTCGTTTTTTAAAATTTTCAGTTTTTCGAATTTTTGATGTTTCGATTGTTCGGGTTTTTCAATTTTTCGATTTTTAACGTCTTATATTTTTCAGTTTTTCGATTTAAAAAATTTTTGATTTTTCGGTGTTTCGGTTTATAAATTTTTCAACTTTTCAATATTTCGATTTCTCGATTTATGGAGATTTCGCTGTTCCGATTTTTGGTTGTTAAATTTCAAGATTTGTCGATTGATTTATTTTCACATTTTTTTATATCGAATTATGTATGTGATTTTACGATTTTTTTGCAGTTTCGGTTTCCCTATTTTCTTAATATTTAAAACTTTAGTTTTTGATATCTAGGTTTTTTTAAATTATACACTTTTCGATTTTTTTGATGTTTCGATTGCCAGATCTTTCGATTTTTTGGTTTTTCGATTTTTAAAAGCTTTGAATTTTCATTTTTTCAATTTTTCAATATTTAAAATGTTTTGATTTTGCGATTTTTCGTTGTTTTGGTTTTTAAATTTTGTGATTTTTTTAATTTTTCGATTTCTGGATTTATCGAGATTTCAGTGATTCTGCGTTTATTAAGAAGAAAGAGCAAAATATAAGCTTATTTATAACTTGTAAATAAAGCATGAGTTCTGACTAAGTGAATATCATAAAATCTCCTGGCAAATACTTTTATCTGAACAATTTCATGACTGTTAAATTGTGTCAGAACCAGTAACGATTAAAATATTAACATGAACTGTGAATTTATGAACAATAAATCAAATTTACGCCACGGTCGAAAAATAGGTGAACTTCACTACCGACCCTCTCACTACATACTATCCACAAACTCCCCTAGGAGAGCTACCACATATCAAAAAATAAGTAAACGTGCACATGGTTGCCTATGTTTAACGATTTTCTTGATTACATTTTTAGTTCAAATTCAAATTATTCAATGCGATTTCGCGCAGTTGTTTTTTTTCGGCGCGAAATTTTGATTCAAATTTGGTCACCACAATACGATTTTTAACCGTTACTTGTTTCTTCGCATTACCCTTTATACACACCAAATATTTTGTCTTTCTTGTTTTCTTTTAGTTTTTGATTTTCTACTTTTCATTACAGACCATTACAAACCTTCACGTTGTCGTATGAAAAATAAAGAAAAATAGAGAAAAACAGAAAATAAAACGAAGTGTGTATAAATATGTAAAAACTATAAAATATGACACACAAAAACATACTTAAAACACATAAAGATAGCTGCTCAAAATACTTACATACTTTTATAAGTTTGAATAACATTATTACAAAAAAAAATCCGCTTTAATCAGTCCTGGTGGCACCCAAATAATACTGGTAACGTAAGAACGTGAAAACCCCCAAACACCAAATTAGTTAATAACAATTAATAAGTTAAGATTTTTTATTTAGCTTTCAAAAAAAGTGTTGATAAAATTCCGCACAAAATCCGTAATTTTCTGAAAAATCCTTGGACACGGCGATTTTATTTTTTAAAACCACACTTTTTCTTTCGGATTTTGATACAACTTTTAATTAGGTAAAGGGTCGTATAAAAAGTTTTAAATCAAAATATATCTGTTAATCAACGTCAATGAATTTTGTACCAAACTTTATCAACACTCTGTATATTAAAGAAACACCCGACACAGTAGATACAGCGTTTAGAACAATAGCAGCCGAAATAAATTTTTTATTAACATTTCAAAAGGTAATTTTTTAAAGTTTATCGAGCTTTCGTGTTTGATTCGTCTTTGATGTAAATTTAATATAGAATAACTAATGAACGGGATCCCCGTAGCACCATTAAAAAATCCAAACACCAAGCTATTTAAGAAAAACGCTTTCACAAAACTCACTCATTTCATTTCACCACAATGTCGGGTTTAATTCAACAGAGCTTTAAAATCAACCTAAAAGTGATGCAATTTTGTCATTTATATCCACCCGAAAAGCAACAACTCTTCTTCAAATTGCGAGCTCACGTAATGCATGTTGTTTTTGTGATGGCGGTTCCAACTCTCGGAACTGTTTACTTATTGACCGAAAAAAATCTGAACATGGAAAGAGTCAACTACAACGCCGGTTTTTTAGCTCAAACTGCGTGCTTTATTACGAAGCTTTTGCCGTTTATTACAAATGGTCAACGAATCAAGAGACTGATTGACTATTTTGATCATAATTCTGTGAGTGTGATCAACGAAGAACAACGAGATATTGTCAATAAGTGTGTTGAGGTGTGTCGTAGAAACACCTTCATTTTTCTGGTTTGTGTGACAGGGGGTGTTGGTAGCTGGGCTGCTAAACCCTTGTTTTGGAATGGTCGGAATTTACCGGTGGATGTGTGGTTACCATTTGACTGGAGAACAAACAATTTAGTGTACGGGGTTGTTTATTTTTTTGTAACTATAGGTAAAATCGCTGCTCAGATCTTGAAGTTTATTAACTTCATATAATTTTTAAGGAGTTCTTTTTTCTTCGTTTGCCACTGGGGTGATAGATCCTTTGATTGCTGGTCTTGCATATCATGCCACTAGTCAAATCAAGATTTTAAAAGACAATCTAGAACATCTGAGTGACTATGCTGATAATATAATGTTTGCACAAAATTTAAGAAAATTATCCCCAAAAATACTGAAACATAAATTAATTTTCAACAGTATTAAGCAGTGTGTTGAACATCACAATACTATTTTAAGGTAAATAAGTGTTAAAATTTACAGATAGTTGTTAATTAGATGTTAACAAACAAGTCTTTAAATTTCAGTTTTGTTAAAGAGTATGAAGATTGCTTCTCGTCTGTTATTTTCAGCCAGTTTGCAGCCAGTGTGTTTGTAATTTGTTTTTCATGTTTACAACTCAGCAAGGTAAATTCATCCCAGTGAATTTTAATTCTTAAATATACATATATTTTAGGTTGACACATTTGGGTTCACTTTTCTGCAGTTAATTATGTATTTCAGTGTCATTCTTGCCCAAATTTATTTTTATTGTTATTATGGGTCTACACTTTTTGAGGAGGTAATTTTCCTTTACGACAAATTCAGATAAAACACGGACAATTGTGCTAATTTTGTCACTTTTATGTTTCAGAGCAACACCATTACAAACGCCGTTTACATGGGACAATGGTATGACTACGAAATAAAATCGAAACTTTCTCTGATAATTTTGATGGAACGGTCAAAAAGACCACTCACTGTTACGGTTGGAAAATTACTTGATTTATCTTTGGTTACTTTCGCTACGGTATATATTGTATTCCTTTTTTATATTTTTTAATTTATGTGTTTTAGATTCTCAGAAGATCTTATTCGTTGCTTGCAGTATTAAAAAACTATCAGTGAAATATTTAACACACGTGAACTCTTGGCACTAATGTGAGTGTAGAAATCTATACTTCTATACTTATATAATAATATAATGTTATTAACAACAAATTTAAAAAACAATCGGGCATTTTTGGAAAAATATCCACTTTCCTTCGTGTTCACAGCACTTAATACAAAACATTTTCGCTAATATTTATTAACAATAAATTAGAAATTCCCGAACACGTATTACTTTTAACCCAAAACGGAGCTCCAGTGTTGCTGCTACCAGACCGGAATCAAAACTGAACACAAAGGATCGAAAATGTGACCTTTCGTCAGGTAGCTCACGTGACAGTGACGTCATCGTACGTCACGATGAAATTGCAAAAATTATTTTTCACATTTTGGCCGGTAAAATGCACATTTTTGGGGATAATTTAACATTGTTTAAACAAACTAATTTGTTTTTGCTAACCTCGTGTTCTTAGAAAAATGGATTTCGGTTTAATTATCATATATTGATAGTTATCTTATTTAAACATTATGAAATGTATTAATTATGTTTAAATTTTATTTAATTATATCGCGAAAATGTATAGCTTTGACCCATCAACTTCAATCGTTTCGAAAATTTTTTCGAAATTTAAACATTGTCGAGTGAACGAATCACGGAATCCGATAAATTAAAACTGAAGTCGTACTTACCCTGTTTTCGGTCCTTTTCGGAAAAATATCCATTTTCGTTCGTGTTCACAGCACTAACACAACAAATTTTCCTTAATATGTATTAATAATAAACTTGAAATTCGCTAAAACGCTCCACTTTTACGCCAAAATGAAGCGACGATCTTGCCGCCATCAAACAGAAATTAATACTGAACACAAAGGACCACAAAACGTGACCTTTATACAGGTAGCTCACGTGACATTGACGTCATCGTACGTCACGATGAGACTGCAAAAATTATTTTTATATTGTGGCCGGGAAAATGCACATTTTCGGGGATAATTTAACATTGTTTAAACAAATTGATTAGTTTTTAATAATTTCTGGTTTGTAGGAGTTTCGGTTTAATTATGGTATATTGATGCTCATCATGTTTAAACATTTAAATGACATTAATTATGTTTAAAATTTATTTATTTATTTAGAGATGTACCGACTATAGCCGGCCGACTAGTCGGCTTTGTCAAAACCGGTTCAAATTGGTTTAATCGACCGAAAATTGGTGTCAAAGTGTAGATAATCTTCCGCTAGTTACGATTCCAAAAATTTTCCAAAAAAGTGGTTAAAATTTTTTAAGGTTTTTAAGGTAGTCAGAGAAATAGAAAAGAAAAACACACTGTCTGTTGCATTTAAAAACCGGTTTTAGCAAAACGGAACAGTCGGCCGACTATGGTCGGTACATTTCTAATTTATATCTTGAAAATGTATAGCTTTGATCAACCAATTACAATCGTTTCGAAAATCTTCCCACAATTTAAACATTGTCGAGTAAACGAATCATCGCCCACCCCCCTCTTGTCATTGTAACAACTAATTTCAGTATAAGATCATTCATTTTATTCAGATCGGATAAAATCAATCACCAAAAAAGAGGGAGGGTGGGTGGGCGGGCCTAATTATGTTCTTCTGTCGAGTGGGAGTGGAAACTAATAATAGAAGCCGACAATGACTTTGGATGTCGAAATGTACAAGAAAATGTCTTCAATAATTTTCGGAAATAGTTCAAAAAAGGTCTCTATTTACTTAGAGGATATGTTATTTCCCAAAGTCAATCTTATCTTGTTCAGTATAAGGCTATTCATTTCATTCAGATCCCATAAAATTAATTAGTGAAACGGGGACTGGGTGGGTCGGCGGGGTTAAAATTATGTTCTTCTGACGAGTGGGAGGGAAAACTAATAATAGAAGCCAAAAATGACTTCGGGATATCAAAATCTACAAGAAAATGTCTTCAATAATTTTTGGAATTGGTTGAAAATTGGTCGAAAATGTCAAAAGTGCCAAAAACTTTTTTTTTCTTATCTTATCAAATTTTAAGCCCCCCCACCCACCCTCTATTTTCTTAGAGGGTATGTTATGTCCAAAGTCAATCATATCTTAGCAAATACTAGCCCCACCCACCCACCCTCTTCTAATTCTAATGACGAATTTTATTTCTGTTCAGTTTAAGGTCATTCATTTCTTTCAAATTGCATAAAATCAATCACTGAAAAGGAGACAGGGTGGGTGGGCGGGGCTATTTATGTTCTTCTGTCGAGTGGGAGGGAGTACTAATAATAGAAGCCGAAAGTGATTTCTGGATATGTCAAAAATGCCAAAAACAGTCTTATCTTATACAATTTTAAGCCCCGCCCACCCACCCTCTATTTTCTTAGAGAGTATGTTATTGCATAAAGTCGATCTTATCTTAGCAAGTACTCGCCCCACTCACCCATCCTTTTCTAATTCTAACGACGAATTTTATTTCTGTTCAGTTTAAGGTCATTCATTTCTTTCAAATTGCATAAAATCAATCACTGAAAAGGAGACAGGGTGGGTGGGCGGGACTAATTATGTCTTCGGTTGAGTGGGAGGGAAAACTAATAACACAAGCCGAAAATGATTTCTGGATACGTCAAAAGTGCCAAAACAGTCTTATCTTATCAAATTTTAATATACATATCTTTTAGATTTGCTTGTACAGGTGACCAAAAAAAAATGAATGAATCAATTTATTTTATTGATTAAATCAGGAACGACCAATTCCATTTTCCCAGAAAATTTTGTGAAGAAATACTGTTGTTTTTCAACTTACATTTTACACTAAATAAAATAAGTCAGTGAAGTGGAGAAAGGAGGTGAGCGGGGCTAAATTTAATTTTTTCTAGTTTTATGAATAAGTTGTAGCCCCCACCCCTTCTTCGTCCCAGTGACTAGTTTTAATATTGTTCAGTCCTATCTTAGCAAGTTTTAGTTTTATTCAGATCGGATAAAATCAATCGCCAAAAAAGAGGGAGGGTGGGTGGGCGGGCCTAATTGTGTTCTTCTGTCGAGTGGGAGTGGAAACTAATAATAGAAGCCGACAATTACTTTGGATGTCGAAATGTACAAGAAAATGTCTTCAATAATTTTCGGAAATAGTTCAAAAAAGGTCGAAAATGTTAATAGTGCCAAAATCAGTCTTATCTTATCAAATACTAGGCCCGCCAACCCACCCTCTCTTTATTTAGAGGACCTGTTATTTGCCAAAGTCAATCTTATCTTACCAAGTACTAGCCCCACCCACCCACTTTCCTCTTATTCTAATGACAAATTTTATGTCTGTTCAGTATAAGGTTATTCATTTCATTTAGATCCCATAAAATTAATTAGTGAAACGGAGACTGGGTGGGTGGGCGGGGTTAAAATTATGTTCTTCTGACGAGTGGGAGGGAAAACTAATAATAGAAGCCAAAAATGACTTCTGGATATCAACATCTACAAGAAAATGTCTTCAATAATTTCCGGAATTGGTTGAAAAATAGTCGAAAATGTGAAAAGTGCCAAAAACATTCTTATCTTATCAAATTTTAAGCCCCCCCACCCACCCTCTAATTTCTTAGAGTGTATGTTATGTGCCAAAGTCAATCTTACCTGAGCAAATACTAGCCCCACCCACCCACCCTCTTCTAATTCAAATGACGAATTTTATTTCTGTTCAGTTTAAGGTCATTCATTTCATTCAAATTGCATAAAATCAATCACTGAAAAGGAGAGAGGGTGGGTGGGCGGGGCTAATTATATTCTTCTGTCGAGTGGGAGGGAAAAACTAATAATAGAAGCCGAAAATGATTTCTGGATATGTCAAAAATTCCAAAAACAGTCTTATCTTATATAATTTTAAGCCCCGCCCACCCACCTTCTATTTTCTTAGGGAGTATGTTGTTGGTCAAAGTCAATCTTATCTTAGCAAGTACTACCCCCACCCACCCACCCTTTTCTCATTCTAATGACAAATTTTATTTCTGTTCAGTTTAAGGTCATTCATTTCATTCAGTTTGCAGAAAATCAATCCCTCAAAAGAAGACAGGGTGGGTGGGCGGGCCTAATAATGTTCTTCGGTTGAGTTTGACCTCTTTAATTATAATCATCAGTGTTCAAATTGATGAATCAATCCTTCCTAAATAAAAATGATGTTTTTTCTCAGAGAAATCGATTTTATGCCTGTTATAATACTTTCAGCCCGGGATCTGTTTTATTATGGTTTGTACATTTCCCACATATGAAGCAGAATAACGCGTAGGTGATTAAAATCATGCTTTATTAACGCATACGTAATTAGTGTCGTTGATAAACTAAAAACTACATTACCCTGCAACATGCAAGCTTTTGTTAGATTAAATATATAACACGCAGTCTTCTTCAAATGCCCCACGTTGTACGCCACTTTTTATAACACGTGGTTTATTCCGTAAAAACTTTATTCAACAAAACATAGTATATACACTGCATAGACATAGACTGGTTACACGAGTTCTTAAAAATGGTCACTCCGCGGACGAACAGTCCTGATAACTCGTACACTCGCGAACACCCGGAGCGTTTTTCCACGGCCGGACCTGCGGGACCCCTCGGATACGCCGCTGATACTCAAGCCGACTTACTACTCGATTTGGACCTCCAAGACCCCTCGGATGCAAGGTGATACGCAAATGAGCTGTGAAGTTCGCAGATGGAAAAACTTGCCGAATCTGGCCGCTCGGGTCCTATGTAAAGGCGGCTAGAAATGCGTCGCGTGGGAGTGAAAGGGCGCACCGCCCTCTGGTAAGGGAGCGAGCGAGTACCGGGGTGCTGCGGCAGGGTAGTGGTGGTGCGTGGGCGTGACAGAGGGCGCTAGGGGTACTGATCGCGCTACAGTCTCCCCCTCAGGACCATAGGGTGCGTCCCCGCCTATTGGTCCTGCTGGATCTTTCTGGGGCGGCCTCGTCGTCGCAAGGGTTGTACCGGTGGCATGGGCTTTGTAGCGTTGGCAGTCGATACATCCCTTCAGGTAGTCGGTAATATATCG